TGGAGAGCTGAACTGCTGCAAGGTTGTCCTCAAAATCCCCTTGTGTCTTTTCTTTTCTTTTTTTTCCCCCCTCATTATCCTCTCTTTTTCTATTCCTTATTGTCACTTTATATTTATTCTCTACCTCATGGCTGCAGTTAGTAGTAAATGTTTGATGAAACCAAACAAGTCCCTTCCTGCTAGAGTCATCTGAATTTAATTTCTATTTTTTTTTTACTTTTGTGTCATTATTGGAGATTAGGAATCTTTTCATTTTCTTCTATCAATATTTAAAATAGATATGTTGTCAATGTATAAATATACTGACTCGAATTTAAAAAAGTATATTGAAACAGATTTTTTTTTTAAAGATTTATTTATTTATTCATACAGAACTGGGGTACAGGCCAGAGATGTGGAGGGTGATAGGATTCACCAGAGACAGAGTGGGGAGCAGAACAGGCAGATGATCAAAGTACACTGCTGAGGGGAGCAGTGGGTGGGCCAGGAGAGGTCTGCCTCGCCATGTGGTCACCTCCCGGGCAGGCGGGAATTGAACTCATGCGGAAGTGGCTTTAGCTTCTCAGTGCAGTGCTTCAACCCGCTACGCCACCAGGGAGGGCCGAAACAGATTTTTTTATCCACTCATATGTTTGTTTATATATCCACGTACTCATGAATTTACTTATGTATCAAAGTAATATTTATGGGACAAAAGAAAAGTGTCATATCTATCTATCTATCTATCATCTCTATCAATCAATCATGTTTATTCTGCTTGTATGCAATGATTCTGTCTACCTCTGGCAGGGAGCAGGGCAAAAATTTTCAGCAGTATTAAACTGAAAACATGATGTATCTATATTTCTTTAACCTAATCTTCACAATAAATCTTGAATTTTTTTAATTGATACTGTTTTTGAATCTATAGATATATAATTGAGCAATTTCACCTGGTACTAGACAAAACTGATAGAATTCCAAAGCTGTCAGGATACTCCTTCAATAGCAAAATGAATAAATAGAGAAGTAATATCACATGCTAAAGTGGAAAGGTGAGAAGCAGAGTAGAATTAAAAGTAGGATATGGGGCCCTCCCTGGTGGTTCAATGGGTTAAAGTGCAGCACTATGAAGTTGTCCATAGCCACTGCAGCAAGAGTGTAATCCCTGGCCAGGAAGGTGATCACATGTCATGACAGACCTCTCCTGACCTACCCTATACCAGCGGGTATATTTCAATGGATCAGCCTATTCTGCCCCCACTGTCTCTGGTGAATCCTCTCACCCCCTACAACTCTGGCACATACACCAGCTCTTAAATGCATAAATAAATAAATCTTTTTTTTTTTTTTTGAAGTAGGATATGGTGCCTGGAGGCTCAATCCACTGATTTCCAGTTCTACTTAATATGAATAACATAATATTTGCTTTTATAAGTCTGCATTATTAAATAGCCATCTGTTGAAATAAGAAAAAGATTGGCAGAAAAATGTCATACCCATTAAGTAAAAAAAAAAAAAAACAAATTTTTCCTTGATGTAGAACATAAGCTTTGATATTTCTTCTTCCTAATATAAGAAATGAGGTAAAGTAGAGATCTTGCAAATATACCATTTTGAGGACTTGACTTAGTAAGGACAAATATCACAAATTCTCAGGTATCATGATGTGAATAGAAAGTACAATTTAGGTGAAGTTTATTATTATTTAATTAATTTATCATTTATTAGTATTAATCAATTTATTATTATTAACAATGATTTTATTTGTAATTTTAGAGTGTCAGTTTTGCCATTTTTTTTCCTACTAAGAATAAAGAAAACAGATCTAAGATTTCTGGAGTAAAAATTGATATTAAATGTTTCAGTCTGAACTGCAGTCTCTCTGTCCTGGGTATCAACTTGAATGTAAAAGTATAGGAAAACTAAGAATTCCTAAATATCAATTAAATATTAAAGTGGCATTCTCAAAGGATTTGATTAATAGAACTGCATAATTAAAATGACACATAGTACTTAAGAAAGATGTGTTATATGGTTTAAAGCCAAGTCACACGTTATTGATTAAGCTGAAAGATTTCTTATTCAAGGAAATAAGCATTAACTTTAAAACTCAGTAAAGAAAATTTCAATTTCTTGGGAAATTGAAAAAATAACAAACTACCAAACACGAGTCTATCTTCCGTGATTCTTATTTAGTGGACCTGGATAAAGGGACTAAACCCCATAGCTACTTTTGATATCAAGGTTAACAAACACTGGCAAGAATATGATAGGATATGAAAACTTATTGGAGGTCACATACCAGGATGTTATTTCTAAGACAATGCTAGAACACTGATTATGCATTGATGACATTATGTCCATATTGCTGCTTTGATTCTCAGACTAGAGAAAAATCAGAAATTAAAGATGGAATGTTAAACAGTAGAGTAGTTGGGAGTGTTATGAGTTCTCCAGAGAAAGAAAGGCATGTTGTGCAATAAAAATTAATTTTAAGAAATATTGATCAATATGTAGTTTAATAAAAATAATTCTAGTTTTAATTGCTAATTGCAAGTAACGGTCATAAGTTAGAGAGACTATCTCTTATCTATTTTTAATTTTTCATTTAATTTATGGGATGAAAGGTCAATGAAATATTAAAGAAAATATAAATTACATAAATGATACAATATAAATAATTATTTAATTATAAGTTATGTATTGTAGTTGCAGGAAGGCACACAGCAAGTTCCCTATGGATCTGGGCAGACAGTTCAAGGAGACTCCTGGAGACTTCAATGTCTTTTTCAGGCTTTTAATGATCTTTCTACACCATTTGTAGTACAGCTCCAGGAACAGGGAAGGCAGGAGGGGTGGGGGTGAGGAGGCTGACTAGCCTTCTGGGCACCAGGCAAATATTGCTCTCCCTGGGCTCTTTATCTCGTGGTCTCTTCCTCTGGTAGCTGTGGCTCGGTTCTGTCTCCCACTCTTCACTTCACTGTGCACCGCGGTCCCCTGCTTCACTATGTCCTTTGTGAGGCTGCGCTTGTGTGCTCAGTCTCTCCTCAGGTGCGCCCCTTTACGCACCCCACACCATCTCCAGGTGTTCGCCATCAGGCATGCACGACCCAAGCCTACGCTCCTAAGCGTCTCCTGCATTTAAAGCCATACATTACAGGCCAAGGGTGCAAAAGCCTGAGCCATCTTCATTTACCCTACATATGAATGAAATTACAATCCTTTAATATTGTTGGATATGTTGTAGTCTATACTCAGCTATGTTCTAGTTTCTTATTCTGACACAGTTTCTGTGTTTTAGAAGAGGGTACATAGTAAAAAAGACATGAGTTTGAATAAGATCATGACTATCATAAATAATATGAGGATGATCAACATGTGTCTGATTTTGTGACTTTAATATGCAAAATAAATTTATCAATTCTATTTATATTTAACACATAAAATGTATTTGTAAGTGTTCATTATATTGAGGATCGAATTTTTGCTTTGGACTATAAACATTTTCTGAGGAACTTCTAGAATATTTTAAATAAAAAGAAGTTAGCAACAGTGAAGAAAAAGAATGACTTGTTTAATAAACAATTATTGTCAAAATAGACCCATCTTGCTTTATAAATATTATTGGGCTGCAGGAATTAGTCTCTACTAATTACTCAATTAAAATATATCATATATAGTAATTAAAGAACATGTATTAACCTCATATACTGTTTATACCAAATGCTTTACATGGATTTTTACTGAATTCTCAAAGTATTGGATGAGGTAGCCACAATATCAGAAATCGAAAAAGACAGAAATTTGCTGGAGGTCACCGCATCATGAGGGGTCCCAAAGTCTGTTCTTGAAAATTGCCTGCGTGAAGATTGCCTGCTAGCCTCTTTTTCGGAGCTTCTATTTTGACTCCCTTGTTAACCAGCACTTCTGCACCACAATTAGCAGCAGCAAAATCTGTACCCATGGAACTTCTTTTTCTGTGTGTGTGTGTGTGTGTGTGTGTGTGTGTGTGTGTGTTCTGTCTGCATGTTAGTTTTATGTCTTGGTTGCATTGGTTTTCTCTTGCTCTTTGATGAAGAGCTACAAACAGTGGATTGAAACAACACAAATCTATTTTGAGTACTGTAGGTTTGAATTCTAACATGGGGCCCTACCTGGTGGCAGAACAGGTTAAAGCATAGAACTATGAAGCGACTCCCAACAATGGCAGCACAAGTTCAAACCCTGGCCATGGAGGTGACCCAGTTGGCATTGCAGACCTCCCTGATCTTCCGGTTGCTTCCCTCATCACAGCAGACCTCTCTTGACCTTCCCGCTGTTCTCCTCAGCAGTGTTCACCCTTTCTGCTCCTCACTCTGTTTCTGGTGAATCCTCGCACCCTCTATACCTCTAACCTGTACTCCAGGACTTGTATGCATAAATAAATAAATCTTTAAAAAAATTCCAACATGGATTTTACTGGAGTAAAAACAAGGTTATATTGGGACTCTATTCTGGAAGCTTATGGGGAGAATAGTTTCCTTGATTTCTCCATTTTCTTTGGTTTATTTCCCCTTCCTCCAATTTTAGAGCCTAGGAAGAATCCTTTTTACATTCTATCACTCTGATCTCCTTTGATTATATTGGAATCATCCAAATCATCCAGAAAATATCTTTATCTCAAGACCATGAACTTGTCACATGTAGATAACATGTGAGGTATCTTGACATGTAAGATAACATATTTACAAAATCCAGGGGTTAGAATATTGGCATCTTTGGGGATTATTCTGCCTTCCTTGAACATCTACTAACTTTTGGGGACAGAAGAAAAAAGCCATCCTTCCCTAGAGAAGCTCACAGTTGAGTAGATATTTACATAGATAAGGAAAATATAAAATCATATATGCTATGACAAAAGTGCAAATACTTATAGCACTACTGAGACAACGGTATGCCTGGAGTTGAGCTAGAAAATTCTGGATAAAAACTTAGAATTATTCAAAATATATTCATAAGATTTATCATTTTTCATGCAGGTTTTGAGACTGTGGGATATTCAGCACCAGCTGTCAATCCAGAGGATAGCTTGTTCTTTCCCCAAAAGTCAGGACTTCAGATGCCTCTTCCACTTTGATGAAGTCCATGGACGACTTTTCATCTCATTTAATAACCAGCTAGCATTGCTGGCAATGAAATGTGAAATCAGCAAGAGGGCGAGAAGCCACAAGAAAGCAGTCACTTGTGTTCTTTACAATTCAGTCTTAAAGCAGGTAATAATGCTTTTGTCATTCTTGTAATGTATACTCATATCCAGAAGCTCATTCCCTTAATTCAAGCCAGGTAGTACTGATGGCACATACAGATAAAGAAATGGGGAAGAGGTGTTTTCAATATCCATGCATTTTTCTACAAAACTGTGTGTCCATAATAATATATAGGCTCAAAGAGTGCCTCGTTTTTAGCTAGTGGCCACAGCGGCACTAATAGAGCTATAAGGAATTACAATATTCTAGTGAAAACAAACACACCATGCAATATACTTGAATTTATCTTGGTTACCCACTAGTTTGGATCTTGATGCCAAATGCAAGTGAACTTGGTTGTAAAATTCCCTTTTATGAACACCATCCTCCTGTATCTCTGGAAAGTTCTGAAATATGTATGAAATGTAATTAGCAGAGATACATTTTGCCAGCAGATTTTACACCAGTGGCTCACAGTGACAGCCCGGAATGTATTCATAATAAAGTGATTCAGTTAAATGTGATGCCACTTGGTATGCTGTGCAAGTGTTGTTTGTCTCCCCACCACTTTAATGATGCTCTGCAGAGAGCACTACCTGCATGTCAATGAAGAAGCCCGGCTCCTCTGGAGCAGAGACGCTGTACAGACCACAGGCCTCCTTGGAAGACAGGGAGGGTCAGCTGTGGGCCCCAAAGAGGCAGTGGGCACAGCAGAGGTTAGTCAACAACAATAATCACCTCAGGCCTGATAGTAACAGCACAGCAGGAACCAAGCAGAGTCATTCTCCAGCTTGTGCACAATTAAACAATAATTCCAACCCATTTTCTCTTTCCTTAGCAGAAACTTCTGCATTTGCCCAGAAATGGATAGTACAGACTTGGAGCAAGGATTGGATTGCCCTTTATTAGTAATGAATAATGTGTCAAGTCACTACATCGAACACTGTTTTCTGGTTATTCTAGGGGCTAAATATCCTTCACAGAACAATCCATTAATTCCATCTGCAGGAAACATTTCCCCATGAATGTTTTACTGAACCTTAGAAAGGCAACCCGTTTATTTGGCTCCTGGTGGCCACTGAGTAATGTGTTTTTTTTTTTTCCCCCAGAAGAGCATTTTGCTAATTGAGAGTTAAAAAGTTAAAAAGGTAGATTGGTATGGAGATGCAAACTCCTATGTTTCCTAGTGATAAAATGAACAATATTCCACAATAAATTCAGGAAATGGGACAAAAAAGAGGATCCGGAATCTTTCATTTAGGACATGGAAATAAAACTAAGGAAAAAACCAAACATGTGCAAGTTGTAAGCAACGATCAACTATGCACATGTGATAAATGATGTAGGAAGACCCTACAGCTGGGTCGGGTATTTACACCTCTGTTTATTTTTGCTGTTAATAATTTAAATGATTAAAACATTAATATGTGCATAAGGCTTATAAAGCTGCATATCACATACACAAGTGCTTCCAACTATTAGCTGCTAAGCCATGCAGAAACACCTTAACATTATAATGCGTTTATTATTATAAAGAAGTGTTGTAGTCAAGTGAAACAATATCACCATAGTCTGATCAGTCAGTGATAATTTAGCATTTCAGATTAATTAGGGAAAACCATCAATTAAAGAAAGCAAATACAAACAGTTTTGAACAAATATTAAAGTCCAGGAATGAGGAATAAGAAAGAACTACAGCTTCTTCTCTCCAATAGCTCAGGGAAACTGAGATGTAACAGGAAGGGTCAGGTCACCTTTCCGGTGCTCATTGCTTGGCATGTCTTCATTGAACAATTGTGGGATGAAAAGAAGGGAAGGCGGGCACCTCACCAATTTACAGAGAAGTGATGGAATGCAGAAGATGAATGATATTAAAGATAAGTGCTGTCCATGAAAGTGACTGATTCTGCCTGGGCTGGGTGGGTGACATTTCCACAGAGCCCTTGAAAGCTAGGTTTAGAATCTCAGAAGAGAAAAAAAGTGCTTCTTAGACAACAGGTAGATGAACACCAGCACAGTCTTAAATACAGTGCTTTACAGAGAAAGGTTTATTTTGGTGTGGCTAGTTTGAGAGTAGAAAATGTGGGACTTGAAGTAGCAATGGGAGCTGAGTCAGACTCTAAAGGTTATTCACTGAGAGTTCCAATCTGGTCTTGGAAACAGGAAGGGCAGACTTAGCAGTAAAACAGCAATTTGTACAGTGTGATTTCAGACCTGGGGGACTCAGATCCTCACAGGGAGACCCTGTGAGGGCAAAACTATTTTCATCATGATATACATTTGTTGTTTGCCTTTATTTTTGCATTCCCACTGTCTTATAATTGTAGAGTGGAGTTTTCTAGGAGCTACATCATGGTCTTTAGAATACTTTTCTCTGATGGCTAAAGGAATGTGTGCTTTTGTAGTGGTTTCAACAATTCTCAATTTAAAATGTTAACATGGTACTATATATATATATAGATATATACAGATATATCTATATATGTGAGAAATAAAAAAGATACATATACATGCATCTTTATATTTCCACTTATTTTAGTTTATTGTAAGATTTCCCTTCTGTTGTTGTCATTTCAATATGTTGCTGAAACTTCATTATTATTTCATTTTAATCAGGTTTTACGGGGACATGACATAATCTCCATGCAAAAGTACCTTTTGCACATTCTATGACTTTTCTGTGACTTTTTTTATCTTGCAGCCTTTTGATATACTATGGTATTCTAATCTAAGAAAGTGATGTTAAGCTCTGCAGAGCTTTTTAGGGACCATATGGTTTATTTCAGCTGACAAAGCTTCCCCTCACAGCTGAGTGCAAAACAAGTTGGGATGAAATGAGGGAGTCCCTGGAATGAAACTCTTTTGAAAGAGCTGAAGAAATGCACTATCTTGAAGGCAGTTTGAATGAACTATATTGCCTATAGTCTTAAATGAAAATTCTCTGAAAACCCCATAAATGTTAGAAACCTTTAAAATTGTATTTCTCGATATCATGTGAACTGGAATAGATAAAATTTGTTACCATCACAGCTCACCTAACGATGTGGGATTATTTGTTTTTGCAGAATGAGTAATGTTTCAATTTGTTTTGCATCTAGGCACATTGTAATCATGCTATCTGTCTAAGGAATCATCACATTTTGACAGGCATGATGTTTACTGTTTTGTTCTTTAAATAATTTCTTTCAGTGAAATATTACATGCTTACTGTTAGAAATCAAATCAATGCAGGAAAGCTAAGTTAGTTTAAGTTGCTAAGTTCAAATAAGCAACTAAGTATTGCTGAAGCATCACATGTTCTAAAATCTGTATTCATAGACTTTTACATAAATATAATTCTGTAACCTGTTTTTTTATTCATTAATACATTGGAGTATATTTACTTGCACCAAAATATCTACTTCATTATTTTTGAAAGTCGGCACATTATCCCATGTGTAAATCATAATTTACTGATCTATTTGCCTTGATGAGAATTTTGTTTTATGGCTTTTTGTAGCATAAATATATTTACATGAATGATTTTATTTCTCTGGGGTAAATACTAAGGTATGAGTTTCTAGGTTAAAAGGCATGAAAATTAGATAATATGATGGAAAAAATTATCTCCCAGAAACCTACCATTTCATCTAATCTCTGAGAGTTAACATATAATTACAGAGATAGCCCCTTTAGGGGACATGTCAGACAGTATCTGCCTGCTGTCTTCCAGCGGGACTTCTGAAATCCTTAATGGAGGGTGCAGGATTCCAACATGAGATGCTGGCTATGCTGATTTGAAGACTGAACTTTCATTTACCCACAGTCGTACTGCTTTTTGAGGACCAATTCTCTATCCTAGGATACATAACACAAAATCATTCATTAAAATTGGGGCTGGGTTATCATCTCCTGTCCTTTTTCCTGCATACCAACTTTGAGATATTTGAGAAAATATCAATTCAACTGATAGTTTTCTGTGTAATTGTAAAAACCGGATAAGTATATTGGACAAACTTGAGAAAAATTTATGCCTACAAGACACTTTGCTTCTTTAGTGCTTGGATTTAGGGCAAAATCAATACATTTCTCTTTTGAACAGGCTTAGACAAACACTAATGAAAACATTCATTTTACCTGCCCGTTGCTGCTGAAATTTAGGTGTCTTTCCTTCTCTTAAGGTATTTAGTTATTGGCCCACTCACAGCTGTACTTGGTAACCTGTCAGTGGAGGTTAGGAAAACTTGATGGTGATACACAGTGCACCCAAACCTTTAGAGGTTACCCCAACATACACATGAATATGCCTATACACACATGCTCCCACATGCTTATTTAAAAAGCAATACATACACATGTCCTAAACCTCAAGCGTACAGACATCCTTTGTTTTCTGAAAGTTAGATCACTTTGTTTTTATGTAGGGCTTACTTAAGTAACTGGTTTAACTATCAACATATTTCAGAGGATTTCTGTTTTCATGAGAAGAACAAAAGAGTGAAAATATTATTCCCCATGGGGTCGTGTCAACCGGAGCAGCAAGAGTGGCACTATGGAACTCCTTCCTTGGAGCTACACTGGGCGGACACTAGTTACCATGCTACTACTTTCCCAATGTGTTAGGGTGATACTATGTTTATTTTATTTATTTATTTATTTATTTATTGTATACTGTGGTAGATTATTTTTTTTGTGTTCAGCAATAGTCAGCATTTTTTTTTAAAGATTTATTTATTTATACATACAGAACTGGGGTACAGGCCAGAGGCTCAGGGGCGGTGAGAGGCTTCACCAGAGACAGAGTGGGGAGCAGAACAGGCAGATCGACGAAGCACACTGCTGAGGGGAGCAGCGGGCGGGTCAGGAGAGGTCTGCCGCGCCATGTGGGTCACCTCCGGGACTGGAATCTTTGAACTCATGCTGAAGTGGCTTTAGCTTCTTAGTGCTGTGCTTTAACCCATTGGGCCACCAGGGAGGGCCCGAAGGTCAGATTTTTTTAATCTGATATAAGCCTGTATTGTTAATTATTTCCCTCTTAGTACTCTCTC